TTTTTCTATTTTTCATTTTTTCAATTTATTGGTGTTTTGGGTTTGGGATTTTTCAGTATTTGGATTCTTCGATTTTTTGACTTTTCGATTGTTCGACTTCTGGGTTTTAGATTTTCTGAATTTTGCAATTTTTTTGTTTTTCGATTTTTCCACTTAATTTCCACTATTCGATTTCTCAATTTCTCGATCTTTTGATGTTTTGTTTCTAAATGTCTCAGTTTTTCAAGTTTTGGATTTCTTGGTTTTTAGATTTTTCGATTTTCCAATTTTTCAATTTTTCGATTTTTTAATTTTTAGATTTTTCCAATTCATGATTACTCAATTTCTCCATGTTTCGTATTTTCAACTTATTAATTTTTCAATTTTTTTTAATTTTAGATTTTTCGACTTGCGTTTTTTAGATTTCTCGATTTTTCAGGTTTTTCATTTTTCGAATTTTCCATTTCTTACTTTTTCAACATTTCAATTTTTCGGTATTTTAATTTTTCGATTTTTGAAATTTCAATTTTGGAATTTTTAAATATTTGGAGTCTTCGACTTTTCGATTTTTCGATTTTTCAAATTTTTGTTTCTTCAATCCTTCGATATTTCAATTGTGGGATTTTTATTATTTCAATTCTTCAATTTCTTGATTCTTCAAATTTTCGGTTTATCGATTTTTTCATTTTCGATTTTTCAAATTTTTGATGTTTCTAAATTTTCGATTTTTTGGTTTCCCGTGTTCTCGACTAATCTATTTTTTGGTTTTTCGTCTTTTCGATTTCTCGACTTCTCGATTTCTCGATTTTTCGATTTTTCAGGATTTTAATTTCTCTATTTTTCGATTTTTTAAATTTTTGATTTTTCGACTTCGACTTTTCGATTTCAAGTTCTCGATTTTTCAATTTTTCGTTTTCTCCATTTATTGATCTTTCAGTTTTGGGATTTTTCAGTGTTTCGATTCTTCGATTTTTCGGTTTTAAATTTTCTGTTTTTACAATTTTTTATTTTTGGATTTCTGAATTTTTCTACTTTTCGATTTCTCGACTTTTCGCTCTCTCAGTTTCTCGAGTTTTGCTTTTCTATGTTTAGATTTTCCAATTTTCAATTTTCTAATTTTTTATTCTGATTCTTCAATTTTTCAATTTTTTAAATTTTAGATTTTTCCATTTCTTAATTGCTCAATTTTTCGATATTTCGTTTTATCAATTTTTTGAATTTTTAACTTCTTTATTTTTCAGTTTATTGGTTTTTCAAATTTTTTATTTTTTAGTTTTAGAAAGTTTTCAATTTTTCGATTTCTCGTTTACTTTTTGATTTTTCAATTTTTCTATTTTCTAATTTTAGATTTTTCAATTTTTGGATTTCTTGATGTTCCGATTTCTTGATTTTTCATTATTTCAATTCCTCAGTTTCTCGGTTTTTCAAATTTTTGATGCTTCTAAATTCTAAATAATAATTAATTTTTCTATCTCACATTTTCTCGATTTATCGATTTTTTTGATTTTACGACTTTTCGATTACCCGACTTCTCGATTTCCCGATTTTTCGATTTTTAAGGTTTTCAATCCTTCAATTTTTTTATTTTTCAAATTTTTAATTCTTCAATTTTTCGGTTTTTCGGCTTCGAATTTTCGATTTTTCAATTATTCAGTTTCCCCATTTATTGATGTTTCAGTTTTGGGATTTTTCAGTATTTCGATTTTTCGACTTTTCGGTTTTTCCACTTCTCGGATTTAGCTTTTCTAATTTTGGAAATTTTCTCTTTTTCGGTTTCTTAATTTTTTGATTTTTCAGTTTTTTGGTTTTTAAATTTTTAGATTTTATGTCAAATTTTTCAATTTGTGGATTTTTTGATGTTCCGATTTATCCATTTTCCAATTTTTCGATTTTTCAATCTTTCTTAGATTTTTCAATTGTTCGATATGTCAATTATGGGATTTTCCATTGTTTTGAATCTCCAGTTTCTCGATTATTCAAATTTTCGATTTCTCGATTTTTTCCATATTTCGATTTTTCAAATTTTTGACGCTTCTAAATTTTCGATTTTTTCTATTTCCCATTTTCTCCATTAAACGATTTTTGGGGTTTCGATTTTTTGATTTCTTAAGTTTTCGATTTCTCGATTTTTCAATTTTTTAGTTTTTCAATTCTTCAATTTTTCAGGTTTTTAGTTGTTCTATTTTTCGATTTTTCAACTTCAGTTTTTCGGCTTGAATTTTTCGATTTTTCAATTTTTCGGTTTCTTAATTTTGGGATCTTTCAGTATTTCGAATCTTCGATTTTTCGACTTTTCGGTTTTTCGACTTCGATTTTTCAACTTCGATTTTTCGTCTTTTCGGTTTTAGACTTCTTGGTTTTAGGTTTTCTGATTTTTGCAATTTTCTATTTTTCGATTTTTCAATTTTTCGGCTTTTAAATTTTTCGATTTTTTGGTTTTTCAATTTTTCGATTTCTCGATTTTTCAATTCTTGACTTTCCCGATTTTTCAATTTTTCAATTTTTCGATTTATCGATTTTTTTTAATTATTTAATTTTTAAATTTTCGATTTTGGACGATTTCGAATTCTGAATTTTTGGATTTTTCGACTTCTTGAACCTTTCGATTTGTTAATATTTTGTTTCTCAATGTTTCGATGTTTCTATTATTCGGCTTTTCGATTTTTCAATTTTTCGATGATCCGCTTTTTCAGTTTTTCGATTTCTACCCAATTTTTCGTTATTTCAGTTTTGGAATTTTTCAATTTTTCGATTTTTCATTTTCTCGATCTTCAATTTTTTGATTTTTCGAATTTTTAAATTTTTGACTTTACAGTTTTCCGATTTTTTAAATTTTACATTTTTCGATTTTATGATCGATTTATTGACATCTTGGTTTTTCGATTTTAAAAATTTTTCGACATGCAATTTTTAAATTTCTCGAATTTTCAACATTTCAATTTTGGGCATTTTTGAATTTTTCGATTTTTTGGATTTCAATTTTTCGGTTCTTCAAGTTTTCAATTTTAAAATTTTTTTATTTTTCCGGTTTTCAGTTGTTCGATTTTTCAATTTTTCAGTTTTCGATTTTTATTTTTTTAATTACATTTGTTATAAATCCGTGAATAAAGCTCATCGGGTACTTTATTGACTTCAGGGCTTGATCACTAGCAATATCGACTGCCGTTTCGACTAAATAAACAAGGGATCTTAATTAAAATATAAATAAATGACACTAAAACACATTGTATATTTTTGTTTACCTAAATAGCATCTACTCACCCTTTGTTTTACTTTCTCCCAAATTCGGTTGCAATCTAAAATACAGATTTCCGTGATTAGAACCTTAAAAGCTTCATTATTTTTTTCTTCACATTAAAATTTATAAAATGTAGAAAAAAATAAATAAACGTCAGAATTTATTAATTTATTAATGATTTATCAGATAAATGATCGTGTTAGTATAATTTGAAAGTAGACTTATTTAAAAAACACGATAAATAATCTCCCATGAACTAAAAACCCCGCTTTAACCGTCCAACTCTACACGATAACCCAACATTTTTCATTTCAAAATTTGGAACTATAACGAATGAATGTCACGCCTCGAGCAAGTTCCATTGTACTCCTTACACAACAATTTAACTTTCCTTCATGCAATCTTTCCTTTACACAGAACAGAGCAGGCCACTAAGCAGCAGCAACTTTTTAAAATCTGTCCCGGCCATTGTGAAAGACATAATGACCATATTAACAATTACAGCTAATTATCGTATTAGGAAGCACACGAAATTATGTCACTCGAAAGTTCATGCAACAGTTACTTGTCACGAAACACAGACACAATACACCGAGGAAGCAAGAAAACGCGATTTTTTCCAAATTCGATTACCGCTCATTTTTGGCTCCATTGTGCAAAAAACCTAATTATCCTTGACAGCTTTAATGAGACTTTAATTCTGTTATTGTCATTAAGCAGACAAGGTAAAACACGGTGACGCAACAGCCGTCAAATTCCGACATTTCGTGATATACCATCCGCCCATCCTTGTCCACTTTCTTTTCTCGGGTTTCCTTGCAAAAACCGCGCCCAGTGGCGTAGATGCGGGATCCGTTAGAGCAGTAACGGGATTTTATGTTGTCGCAGATTTTGTAAATTCAGTCTAGTAGACGTTTTAAAATAGTGAGTGCGAACAAATACGAACTTTTTGAGTTTAGAATAATTTCGTTGTGGTCTGGTCTAAATATAGAAAACAGGTTCTTGGTAAAAGAATAAAAAATTTCTCTCAACCTTGCTCCAGTCAGTACTGAAGCGCGATTTACGCAGCCGTTTTTTCGGCAAGCCACTTGGTTAAGCTCGCGTTGTTCAGTCTGAAGATGTGCAAGCGCGCCTTAAGCGCATCTCCGCCACTGCGCCGTTTCCCGCAACCGGCACCTATTTATTACCGCGCAAAAAAGGCAAAATGCTAACTAGAAAGCCGCGAAATTAATAACCGCGCGATCAAATATGCGCGATTAAAACCCCGAGATCCACCGGCAAAAAACTCATTTTTATGGTAATCCGCGACCTCCATTAGAAATCGCCGGATCGGCCCCACAATTAGCCATTTTTCGGATCTGGCACCACACGAGCGCCCGATAAATCACCGCTTTCACGCTTTTTTCAGGCAAAACGAAAAGCCGGCCTCTTACCGACCGCGAAAATGCGTTTTCAAGATCATTAATGAAAATTGGGTTGTCGGCGATCGAATTTACTCTCGTTCCGAGCGACCGTGCTTAATTTATTGCGGTTGTATGCGGCAATTTACCCGAGAGAGAGTCATCTCTTGTGCGTACGCTGCGAGCTAAATTTCTTAACGGACTTTCATGTATGACTATTAAGCGAAATGAAAGCACTTGCTGCATGAGCGCAAAAAACGGTGCAGTTGAGCGCCCGAGGCCGCGGGGATAAGGGCCGGTGGAGGACACTTGGGGGCGATTGCGCTGACCTGAACGAAGCGCCAGCGTTTAGCAGTGTTTATGTATTCCGTTTTTTGTTGCAGGAGTGAACCATGAGCTCAAAGGGCCACAAGTGCAGGGTCCTGCTCCACCAATGCCTGGCAATCATCGTGCGCAAGGAGGGGTGCAGGGGGGATCCGGGGGACTTCTGGATGTATGAAAATGGGTACTTGCTCTTCCAGGTAAGACATCTCAATGACCATAAGCATTTCTTTTTTTCTTTTTGGTCCTGATTTTTCTTATCCTAAAGCTCTCTTTAGTTTCCTGAACAAAGACTCAACAGCAGTATGCGGTTGACACAAGTGATAAGGATTCTGATTTTTCTACGATTTGTTAATGCTAATCCAAACAATTATATACTTCCCAATCACACTCAAATGTGACCAACAAGTTAGTAACTTATTGAGTCTGATAAAAAGAAATCGTACTCACATTGAAGGTAACTCTCGCTTTAAATCAGTTCGAGTTTCGCTGGATCGCACAAGTTGCATTGTCTATTATCTATGTTTATAACGTCACGACAAATTTTTTACGTGAGAATACGCACATCTTTATTTCATAATGATAAAATAAGAATTATAATATTCAGAACATTTTGTCCGATTGTGGTTTAATTCATAACTTTAGTCCTCTGTTTTGAGAAAACATACTAATTCAAATCAAACTAACCTCTACATGACATCCTTTCGATAACATGAATAAACATAGAGCAAAATACTTGAGTAGATTGCTATTACCTAGTGCTGAAGGATATTTTGTCACGTTAGTTTATTGCTTTAAATATATTTTACATTGTCCGTACGGTGCAGGGGCTCTGGGGATGTTATTTATGCCGCTGGTTTTCAGTTTACAGAGGTATCTCAAAACGAAAGTCGTAAAATCAAATTTTATAATTTTGGTTGGATTTATCGAATTATTATACTTCAAGGGCGAGGAAAGTTCTGTCGAAATATCTAATTTTTTAAAGTGAAACCTTCTCGGAGACCCATCTGTCTTTTTTCTAAGAAGTTGAAACCTTCTCGGGGAACTCAACTGGTTTTTTTAATCATTTAAAATCTTCTCGGGAACCAAACTCTCTTTTTCGAGACGATGAAACCTTCTCGGGTCCCCAACTGTTTTTTTAATAATATAAAAGGTCCCAGAGAAGGTCTTTAAAATAAAGACCTTCTCGAGGTTCCAGAGGGTCTTTATTTTAAAGAAGATGAAACCTTCTCGGGGACTCTAACTTGTTTTTTTAATAATATGAAACCTTCTCGGGGTGCCCAACTGGTTTTTTTTAATCATTTAAAATCTTCTCGGGAACCCAACTCTCTTTTTCGAGACGGTTAAACCTTCTCGGGTCCCCAACTGTTTTTTTAATAATATGAAACCTTCTCGAGGTTCCAGAGGGTCTTTATTTTAAAGAAGATGAAACCTTCTCGGGGACCCCAACTTGTTTTTTTAATAATATGAAACCTTCTTGGGGTGCCCAAGTGTCTTTTTTTAAGAATATGAAACCTTCTCGGGGACCCAACTTTCTTTCTTTTAAGAAGATTAAACCTTCTCGGGGACCCCAACTGTTTTTTTTTTAGTAATGTGAAACCTTCTCGAGGAACCAACTCCCTTTTTTTAAAAAGATAAAATCTTCTCGGTGACCCCAACTGGTTTTTTTAAAAATGTGACATTTTTTTGGGGACCCAACTCTATTTTTCAAGAAGACGAATTCTTCTCGGTGACCCCAACTGGTTTTTTTAATAAGGTGAAATTTTCTTGGGGACCCAACTCTATTTTGCAAGAAGATGAAACCTTCTCTAGTTTCAAGAGTATCTTTTTTTACAGAATGTGAAACCTTTTCGGGGACCCAACTGTCTTTTTTTAAGATCCCAACTGGTTTTTTAATAATATGGAACCATCCTGGGGTTCAAGAGGATCTTTATTTTAAAGAAGATGAAAATTTCTCGGGGTTCCCAAGTGTCTCTTTATAAAGAATATGAAACCTTCTTGGGAACCCAACTCTCTTTTTTTTAAAGAAGGTAAAACCTTCTGGGAGACCCCAACTGGTTTTTTTAATAACGTGAAACCTTCTCGTGGTTCCTAAGTGTCTTTTTTTTAAGAATCTGAAACCTTCTCCAGGACCCAACTTTGTATTTTTGAAAAGATAAAACCTTCTAGGAGACCTCAACTGGTTTTTTTTAAAATGTGAAACATTCTCGGGCACCCAAATCTCTTTTTTTAAGAAGATGAAACCTTCTCAGGGACCCCAACTGTTTTTTTTTAATAATATGAAACTTTCTCGGAGACGTAACTTTCTTTTTCAAGAATATGAAACCTTCTCGGGGACTCTATCTGGTTTTTTTTAATAATATGAAACCTTCTAGGGGACCCAACTCTATTTTTCAAGAAGATGAAACCTTCTCGGGAACCCAGCTCTCTTTTTTTTAAGAAGATGAAACCTTCTTGGGGACCCTATCTGGTTTTTTTTTTCTAATAATATGAAACCTTCTCGGGGTCAAGAGGAACTTTTTTTAAGGAGATGAAACTTTCTCAAGGACCTCAACTGGTTTTTTTTAATAATATGAAACCTTCTAGGGGACCCAACTCTCTTTTTCAAGAAGATGAAACCTTCTCGGGGACCCCAATTGTTTTTTTTTTTTTAAATAATATAAAACTTTCTTGGGACCCAACTCACTTTTTCAAGAAGATGAAACCTTCTCAGAGACCCCAACCGATTTTTTTAATAATATGAAACCTTCTCGGGAACCCAACTCTCTTTTTTTTAAGATAAAACCTTCTCGGGGATCCCAACTGGTTTTTTTAATAATATGAAACCTTCTCGGGGTTCAAGAGGGTCTTTTTTCAAGAAGATGAAACCTTCTCGGGGACCCAACTCTCTTTTTTTTTAAGAAGATGAGACCTTCTCGGGGTCAAGAGGAACTTTTTTTAAGGAGATGAAACTTTCTCAAGGACCCCAACTGGTTTTTTTTTAATAATATGAAACCTTCTCGGGACCCAACTCACTTTTTCAAGAAGATGAAACCTTCTCGGGGACCCCAACTGATTTTTTTAATAATATGAAACCTTCTCGAGAACCCAACTCTCTTTTTTTTAAGAAGATAAAACCTTCGGGGGGACCCAAATCTGTTTTTTTAAGAATGTGAAACCTTCTCGGGGATCCCAATTGGTTTTTTTAATTATATGAAACCTTCTCGGGGTTCAAGAGGGTCTTTTTTTTTTAAAGAAAATTAAACTTTGTCAAGGACCCCAACTAGTTTTTTTTAATAATATGAAACCTTCTCGGGTTTCAAGAGGGTCTTTTTTTAAGAAGATGAAACCTTCTCGGAGATCCCAACTGATTTTTTTAATAATATGAAACCTTCTCGGGAACCCAACTTTCTTTTTTTTAAGAAGATAAAACCTTCTCGGGGACCCAAATCTCTTTTTTTAAGAATGTGAAACCTTCTCGGGGATCCCAACTGGTTTTTTTAATAATATGAAACCTTCTCGGGGTTCAAGAGCGTCTTTTTTTAAAGAAAATGAAACCTTGTCAGTTACCCCAACTAGTTTTTTTTAATAATATGAAACCTTCTCTGGCTTCAAGAGGGTCTTTTTTTAAGAAGATAAAACCTTCTCGGGGACCCAAATCTCTTTTTTTAAGAAAATGAAACCTTCTCGGGGAGCCCAACTGGTTTTTTTAATAATATGAAACCTTCTCGGGAACCCAACTCTCTTTTTTTTTAAGATAAAACCTTCTCGGGGATCCCAACTGGTTTTTTTAATAATATGAAACCTTCTCGGGGTTCAAGAGGGTCTTTTTTCAAGAAGATGAAACCTTCTCGGGGACCCAACTCTCTTTTTTTTTAAGAAGATGAGACCTTCTCGGGGTCAAGAGGAACTTTTTTTAAGGAGATGAAACTTTCTCAAGGACCCCAACTGGTTTTTTTTTAATAATATGAAACCTTCTCGGGACCCAACTCACTTTTTCAAGAAGATGAAACCTTCTCGGGGACCCCAACTGATTTTTTTAATAATATGAAACCTTCTCGAGAACCCAACTCTCTTTTTTTTAAGAAGATAAAACCTTCGGGGGGACCCAAATCTGTTTTTTTAAGAATGTGAAACCTTCTCGGGGATCCCAATTGGTTTTTTTAATTATATGAAACCTTCTCGGGGTTCAAGAGGGTCTTTTTTTTTTAAAGAAAATTAAACTTTGTCAAGGACCCCAACTAGTTTTTTTTAATAATATGAAACCTTCTCGGGTTTCAAGAGGGTCTTTTTTTAAGAAGATGAAACCTTCTCGGAGATCCCAACTGATTTTTTTAATAATATGAAACCTTCTCGGGAACCCAACTTTCTTTTTTTTAAGAAGATAAAACCTTCTCGGGGACCCAAATCTCTTTTTTTAAGAATGTGAAACCTTCTCGGGGATCCCAACTGGTTTTTTTAATAATATGAAACCTTCTCGGGGTTCAAGAGCGTCTTTTTTTAAAGAAAATGAAACCTTGTCAGTTACCCCAACTAGTTTTTTTTAATAATATGAAACCTTCTCTGGCTTCAAGAGGGTCTTTTTTTAAGAAGATAAAACCTTCTCGGGGACCCAAATCTCTTTTTTTAAGAAAATGAAACCTTCTCGGGGAGCCCAACTGGTTTTTTTAATAATATGAAACCTTCTCGGGAACCCAACTCTCTTTTTTTTTAAGAAGATAAAACCTTCTCGGGGACCCAAATCTCTTTTTTTAAGAATGTGAAACCTTCTCGGGGATCCCAACTGGTTTTTTTAATAATATGAAACCTTCTCGGGGTTCAAGAGGGTCTTTTGTTTAAAGAAAATGAAACCTTGTCAGTTACCCCAACTAGTTTTTTTTAAGAATATGAAACCTTCTCGGGTTTCAAGAGGGTCTTTTTTTAAGAAGATGAAACCTTCTCGGAGACCCCAACTGATTTTTTAATAATATGAAACCTTCTCGGGGACCAAAATCTCTTTTTTTAAGAAGATGTAACCTTCTCGGAGACCACAACTGATTTTTTTAATAATGTGAAACCTTCTCGGGAACCCAACTCTCTTTTTTTTAAGAAGATAAAACCTTCTCGGGGACCCAAATCTCTTTTTTTAAGAATGTGAAACCTTGTCGGGGATCCCAACTGGTTTTTTTAATAATATGAAATCTTCTCGGGGTTCAAGAGGGTCTTTTTTTTAAAGAAAATGAAACCTTGTCAGTTACCCCAACTAGTTTTTTTTTAATAATATGAAACCTTCTCGGGTTTCAAGAGGGTCTTTTTTTAAGAAGATGAAACCTTCTCGGAGACCCCAACTGATTTTTTTAATAATATGAAACCTTCTCAGAAACCCAACTCTCTTTTTTTTTAAAGAATATGAAACCTTCTCGGGGACCCAAATCTCTTTTTTTAAGAAGATGAAACCTTCTCGGGGTTCAAGAGGGCCTTTTTTTTAAAGAAGATGAAACCTTCTCGGGGTTCAAGAGGATCTTTATTTTGAAGAAGATGAAACCTTTTCGGGACCCAACTCACTTTTTCAAGAAGATGAAACCTTCTCGGAGACCCCCAACTGATTTTTTTAATAATATGAAACCTTCTCGGGAACCCAACTCTCTTTTTTTTAAAGAAGATAAAACCTTCTCGGGGACCCAAATCTCTTTTTGTAAAGAAGATAAAGTTTTCTCGGGGACCCAAATCTTTTTTTTAAGAATGTGAAACCTTCTCGGGGACCCCAACTGGTTTGTTTAATAATATGAAACCTTCTCGGGGACCCCAACTAGTTTTTTTTTTAAGTAATATGAAACCTTCTCGGAGACCATAACTGTTTTTTTTTAATAATATGAAACCTTCTCGGGTTTCAAGAGGGTCTTTTTTTAAGAAGATGAAACCTTCTCGGAGATCCCAACTGATTTTTTTTTAATAATATGAAACCTTCTCGGGAACCCAACTTTCTTTTTTTTAAGAAGATAAAACCTTCTCGGGGACCCAAATCTCTTTTTTTAAGAATGTGAAACCTTCTCGGGGATCCCAACTGGTTTTTTTAATAATATGAAACCTTCTCGGGGTTCAAGAGCGTCTTTTTTTAAAGAAAATGAAACCTTGTCAATTACCCCAACTAGTTTTTTTTAATAATATGAAACCTTCTCTGGCTTCAAGAGGGTCTTTTTTTAAGAAGATAAAACCTTCTCGGGGACCCAAATCTCTTTTTTTTAAGAATATGAAACCTTCTCGAAGATCCAATGCGCCAATTACTGTTTCATTTCTAGAATACTCGGTAGATGACGCCAATTACCTTTTTATTTCTAGAACATTCCCTAGATGTGTTTAATTTACATTTGTATTGCGTATGTTTAGTTTCTTTAATTTCCTAGTTAGACCTTGAGGTTGCTGTCAACAGCAGCCATCAAGCTTAATTTGTGCATTAATTACGTAATTATAAGTTTTGCATAAGTATGTTAACGTTAATGTTTTTATACGCTAATTTCCTGCTCATCATTTAGTTCTGATAATGGTACAAGTAGGTACCGAAACATGACGACCCTCACTTCACAATAAAACCCTAAGTTCTGTGTTCGACATAATTTTTTTTTAGTCGGATCTAAAAAACTGAAAATATTTATCGACATTTTTTAAAATATCTATTTTAAGTTAACCTCAAAAAATTTATATAATTATAAAGATGAACAAATTCTTTACCCTGCGAAAAATTTCTTTATATGAGTCGCGCCTCGCTTCGATTCCAATTCAGGATGCTTACGTAATGCTGCATGCATGTTACAATAAAGATTTATTCTTTATAGTCTTGGAAATATACTTTTAACATAAGAACGAATATTTATAGCGTTCTTAACACACCCACTAAATAAATTATTGTATAATGTTAGTCATCAGTCGAGTCGACCCTCATCCAGACTTCGCGACTTGACGACTTCTCTTCCCTTCTATCTTACAATAACTCCCCAAAGAACAGAAAGGTGTTATTACACTGTCCACAATTTAGAAGACCGGAAAGCCATTCCAAATAAGGTATTGCCCATATACCACTCCGAGTTGTCCTTTCATCTTTAATTTCGCTCATCCTGCAGATTGGCTCTCATGACACCATCATTAGTTTAACGAAGCAACATCAATCACGTCCTATCACATGTCTTCAGTGAAAGACCAAATCATCTACTTCCACCTATTTAGAGTAAACGACGACCAACAGAGCTCTTGTTTTCTTGAACCTCCTCAAAATCCTGTCTCGATAACCCCCGGTCCTTCGCCGGCCCCCGAATAACAGCACTTCTTCGTTGACATCATTGTCCAAACCCGTTCTTGACGCACTTTCGATGATGACCCGTTCTAAAATTAGCCATCAAATAGTCGCACCGATTGAATCACTTGCAGTTTCGACACGCCTGTCCGAGTCTTGGCAAACACAACTGTGCACACAAGTGAAGGTCGCATGTCCACAAATCCATCTTTCTTTTATTTATCCACTCAAGTAATCATAACGAGGCATAAAATCAAGAGCCATTAGAACGGTCAATAATCCAGTGAATGACTCGAAAAATTACCGCTTTCGAGAGCCCGGAGCCAGCTCGCCTACACCCACTCACTTCGCTCGTACCCGGGGGCTGCTAATTGTTCGGACGCGGTGTGAAACTGTCGAAACCACCTTACGCAAGAAAAGTGGATGTTGTGGATCTTTGTGGAGAAATTTATTGCTCATTAGCGCCGGCTTGCAATTAGGCTTATTACCACAGCGGCCTTCATTGTGTTGCGAATGGGAGCCGGCTTATCAAGATTCGGGGATTTGAACCCAGTCCTGACAGCTATAAATCTTTGGATGAGTCCAACAAGGTTCGATTTTTTGCGCGGATCCTAGTTTCTTTAATTATGAACCAGCCATTCTTCCGTGGTAAGTATTTGGTAATCTGTTAGTGGACCGTGTAAATGACCCTGTCCTTAAACACTCGCCGCTTTCAATTTTTCTGCAGGTGCGACGATTCCCGACTCCTTGACACAGTAAATCTATTATTGATTTTAGTGAGTGTCTGAAGAAAATTGAAATCGTTACTCACAACTTTTTTCGAGCCTCTCTACGACCAGACTAATATTATATTAATTGAATGCAATGGAAACTAGAACGAGTGGAGCGTTGAAGGACCTGATTCGTAATGGTTTACCTTTTTTCGATGATGGTGTGTATTTTTGAAAGAAAATTTCATGCAGGGTTCATTGTACGAGACTTTCATGCAAATGTCTCAGGACGGTGAGGTGTAAGGCATTATGAAAATTACTGCTGTTATTAGAGGTATACAACTGCGGTTTCACTAGATGGTAAACAGTTACCTATTGTAATTTGTGGCTGTCGGAAGGATTCTCTCTAAAGTAGCGTGTTGGTGGGTTTCACTGGGCGGAAACGTCATGTTCTGAAAAAAGAGCTCTCGTGCAATCTTCCAAAACACCGCCAGTACCACCCACGATGGGTGTTCCACACAAAATCGCCGTCTTCCTTCATTGCTTCGAGCGCTCTACTAAGTATTCAATCCTCGATAAAGTTGCTTGGGTCCTTTCGACCATCCCCGTTCCTTTCTTTGTGACTTTTTGTCCCCGAACTTAGACCCACATCCTTGACCTTTCCTGCAACTTTGACCAGTATCTGCGGTATAAGACGGTTTTAATCCCTGATTTGTTTGCAGGGTCTGCTCTCATCCAACAGCGTCTGTTGGTGGAACACCGGCCTCAACGGCGCCACCAAGAGTCTCAGCTACCATGGCTACATCAGCCCTGGCGCCCTCCTCGTAGGGTCCGAGCCTTGCGCCATCGACATAGTCAAAAACGCGTGGGCCCGAAGGGTCCTGCAGCCGCCCCCCGGCTACCAAATCGTCGCTCTCGAAGACATCGAGAACTGCTACGGCATCCCGGTGGCGCAGACCCAATGGACGCCCCTACCAGAGGCCGTGTGCGCCGTCATTCTCAAACTGTCGCGTCAAGGCAGACCCGCTGGAATCGAAACCATCCGGGAAGCCCTCATCATGACCTTCCCTCACGTGTCCCCGCCTAGTGAGCAAGCCCTCTACGACACCCTAGTGCAGCTCACCACCGAGCGCAAGCTCTACCACACCTCCAACGGCTACTTCATCGTAACTCCGGAGTAAGTACTTTCTTTGTATGTTAGAGTCTTCAGTTTAATAACGTGGTTTAGACGCAGGAGGTCCCGGAGCGCCTCCAGAGGCCGCAAGCGCGTCGACGACCCCGAGCCGGATCCAGTTTCCGGTAAGACGATGCTCATGTCAACCGAAGAAGCTCTGGTTATGGTTCACGGCGACATGGCCACTATACGAGACGGAGATGTCACGCACCAGCTGATTCAGACTAATCTGGCCGATGTTATATGTGGAGGGAACCCGAGTGACAAGGTGTTGTATCCTAGGAGCAGCAAGTATAGGGCGTCGTCGCTGTCGGTGCCGAGGAGCCCGGACCGGAGGGGCTCCTTCAGGCTGTGGAGGTCGAGTCGGAGGCTGAGGCGGTCGGCGTCCACGAGGACGATAGCGAAGCACTACGTGGACACGACGAGCAGTAGCACGGAGACGTCGGCGCCGTCGACGCCTAGTCCTAGTGAGTGGGTTTTAACTGTTTTGAGTCTTCTTCAAGGCGAGGTTGCTTCCAAGGAGAAAATAGAAAGAGTGTGCTCACCTTACTTAATTCTGGCTATAAAAAGCGAAAATTTGCGTTGCAAGGAATTAAGTTAAATTAGTATCTACAATTAAATACTTATTTCTGGCCTAGATTCTAGAAATAGGTTGGCTGGTGAGCTTATTAATTTTTTTGGCTGGACTATTTAAAATAATTATTGCAATTAATTAATTAGTTTAGTACAAATGATATAACTGTAATTAATTATCACCTTGAGTAGAGACATTAAAAAATGTGTACCTTACTATAGATATATTCAGTGGCTTATAAATTAATTTAGTTTATTTTAAAATCGGAGAAACCTAAAAACAGTTACAACAAAAGAGTGATCTTGAAGAATGTGCATTCATAATAACTAAAAAAAAAACTAAAAAAACCTTCATTATCTTATTGTTGTCCGTTCAATTATAACGGGTTATAGAAATTTAAGCACTGACTTGATTTCATTGTTGTTTCTACTTAAAAATACAAGGGTTTTCCGAGATTCTTTCAAATTACTTCAAAAGCAAAACAAGATATCTTCGAGATTCTTTTAAACTACTTCAAAAACCTGTCACAACGGGTTTTCAAGATTATTTCAAATCACTTCAAAAACAAGACAAAAATTCGAAATTCTTTCAAAATTACTTCAAAAACAAGACATAGAAAGATCTCTGATATTTGTTCAAATTCAAAGATAAGAAATCACAAACCTGACAATCCTTTCAAACTACTTAAAAAACACAAAGGGTCCCCAAGATTCTATCAAATTGCTTTAAAAACAGGACAAGAGATCGTCGAGATCCTTTCAAATTACTTAAAAAAACACACGGGGTCTCCAAAATTCTCTAAAATTACTTCAAAAACAAGACAAACGATCCCCAAAATTCTTTCAAAGTACTTCAAAAACAAAACATAAGGGGTCCCCGAGATTTTTTCAAATTACTTCAAAAGCAAGACAAAATATCTCCAAGATTCTTTTAAACTACTTCAAAAAGCAGACACAACCAGACTCCAAGATTCTTTCAAATCACTTCTAAAACAAGACAAAAGATCCTCTAAATTCTTTCAAAATTACTTCAAAAACAAGACACAAAAAGATTTCTGATATTTTTTCAAATTACTTGAAAGCCAAGAAATCACGGACCATGGGACTTCGAGATCCGTTCAAACTACTTAAAAAAAACACAAAGGGTCCCAAAGATTCTATTAAATCACTGTAAAAACAGGACAAGAGATCTTTGAGATCCTTTCAAAGTACTTAAAAAAATACACGGGATCTCCGAGATTCTCTAAAATTACTTCAAAAACAAAACATAAGGGGTCCCAGAGATTCTTTCAAATTACTTCAAAAGCAAGACAAGATATCTCCAAGATTCTTTCAAAATTACTTCAAAAAGACACAGAAAGATCTCTAATATTTGTTCAAATTAGTTCAAAGACAAGAAATCACGGACCATGGGACTTCAAGATCCTTTCAAATTACTTAAAAAAAAAACACAAAGGGTCCCCAAGATTCTATCAAATTACTTTAAAAACAGGACAAGAGATCTTTGAGATCCTTTCAAACTACTTAAAAAAAACATACGAGATCTCCGAGATTCTTTCCAATTACTTCAAAAGCAAGAGAAGATATCTCCAAGATTCTTTTAAACTACTTCAAAAAGCAGACACAACGAGACTCCAAGATTCTTTCAAACCACTTCTAAAACAAGACAAAAAATCCTCGAAATTCTTTCAAAATTACTTCAAAAAGACACCGAAAGATCTCTGATATTTTTTCAAATTAGTTGAAAGCCAAAAAATCACAGATCATAGGACTTCGATATCCTTTCAAACTACTTAAAAAAAACACAAATAGTCCTCAAGATTCTATCAAATTACTTTAAAAACAGGACAAGATGTCTTCGAGATCCTTTCAAACTACTTCAAAAAAAACACACGAGATCTCCGAGATTCTCTAAAATTACTTCAATAACAAAACATGAGGGGTCCCCGAGATTCTTTCAAATTACTTCAAAAATAAGACAAGATATCTCCAAGATTCTCTTAAACTACTTCAAAAACCAGACACGACGAGTCTCCAAGTTTCTTTCAAATCACTTCAAAAACAAGACAAAAGATCCTCTACATTCTTTCAAAATCTCTTCAAAAAACACGACATAGAACGATCTCTGATATTTGTTCAAATTAGTTCAAAGCCAAGAAATCACAGACCATGGGACTTCGAGATCCTTTCAAACTACTTAAAAAAAACACAAATGATCCCCAAGATTCTATCAAATTACTTTAAAAACAGGACAAGAGATCTTTGAGATCCTTTCAAAGTACTTAAAAAAATACACGGGATCTCCGAGGTTCTCTAAAATTACTTCAAAAACAAAACATAAGGGGTCCCCGAGATTCTTTCAAACTAATTCAAAAGCAAGACAAGATATCTCCGAGATTCTTTTAAACTACTTCAAAAACAAGACAAAAGATCCTCTAAATTCTTTCAAAATTACTTCAAAAAGACACAGAAAGATCTCCGATATTTGTTCAAATTAGTTCAAAGACAAGAACTCACGGACCATGGGACTTCAAGATCCTTTCAAACTACTTAAAAAAACCGAAAGGGTCCCCAAGATTCTATCAAATTACTGTAAAAACAGGACAAGAGATCACAAGATATCTCCAAGATTCTTTTAAACTACTTCAAAAAGCAGACACGAGTCTCCAAGATTCTTTCAAATCACTTCAAAAACAAGACAAATGAACCTCTAAATTCTTTTAAAATTACTTCAAAAACAATACACCGAAAGATCTCTGATATTTTTTCAAATTAGTTGAAAGCCAAGAAATCACAGATCATAGGACTTCGATAACCTTTCAAACTACTTAAAAAAAACACAAATAGTCCTCAAGATTCTATCAAATTACTTTAAAAACAGGACAACTGATTTTCGAGATCCTTTCAAACTACTTCAAAAAAAAAAATTGGTCGAAAGTTGTTTCAACAGAACTTCCCTCGCTCCTGAAGTAGAATGGACCATAAAAAATAAATACCCAATCAGATTTAGTAATTTAACTCGTTACTATGGAAATTTGCAATTTAACATCTTTTAAATTTAACAAGTTTTTACAAGATTAATAGAGGCAAAATCAGTCTTATCTTAGCAAGTACTAACCCCGCCCACCCGCCCCCTATTTTCTCAGAATTTATGGCATTTGCCAAAATAAGTCTTATCTTAGCAAGTACTAGCCTCGCCCGCCCACCTTCTATTTTCTCAGAGAATGTCATTTGGCAAAATAAGTCTTATCTTAGCAAGTACAAGCCCCGCCCACCCACCCCCTATTTTCTCATAGGGTACGTTATTTGCCAAAATACGTTTTATCTTAGCAAATACTAGGCCCGCCCACCCACCCTCTATTTTCTCAGAGAATATGTCATTTGCCAAATAAGTCTTATCTTAGCAAGTACTAGCCCCGCCCACCCGCCCCTGTTTTCTCAAAGGATATGTTATTTGCCAAAATAAGTCTTACTTTAGCAAGTACTAGCCCCGCCCACCCGCCCCTGTTTTCTCAGAGAGTATGTTATTTGCCAAAATAAGTCTTATCTTAGCAAGTACTAGCCCCGCCCACCCGCCCTCTATTTTCTTGAAAGGTATGTAATTTGCCAAAATGCTAGTATTTGTAAGATAAGACTGATTTTGGCAAATGACATAATCCTACGAGAAAATGGGGGGTGGGTGGGCGGGGCTAGTACTTGCTACGATAAATCTGATTTTGGCAGACGCTATACCCTCTAAGAAACAGAGGGTGGGTGGGCGGGGCTAGTCTTTGCTAAGATAAGACTAATTTTGGCAAACGATATATCTTCTGTGAAAATAGGGGGCAAATCTAAATAAAAATGAATGCAATGATAAATCACAAGTAAAAACTCATCATATCTTGCACATTTTGGGTAGAATTTATTAAGCAAAATTTTGAGATGACATCATCAATTTCTTAGGGGGAATAAACAGATATATTTGATTACATGTTTACAATAACCTTACAACATCTGCAAAATTTCAAAGCAGTCGGTTTGCAGATTCAAAATTAAATTGCATTTTGGCAAATGAGATACCCTCTAAGAGAAGAGAGGGTGGGTGGGCGGGGCTAATACCTTCTAAGATAAAACTGATTTTGGTTAATGGCATACTCTGTAAGAAAAGAGAGTGTGGAGCGGAGCTAATAACTATTAAAATAAGACCGATTTTGGCATATGAAATACCTTCCAAGAATAGAGAGGGTAGGTGGGCGGGGCTAGTACCTGGTAAGATAAGACTGGTTTTTGGCAATTGAGATACCCCCAAAGAAAAGAGAGGGCGGGCGGGTGGGGCTAGTCATTAGCCGGAATCAGTCTTATCTTATCAAGTATTAGCCCCGCCCACCCACCCTCTATTTTCTTAGAGGGTATGTTACTTTCCAAAATAAGTTTTATCTTAGCAAGTACTAGCCCCACTCACCCGCCCCTGTTTTCTCAGAGGGTATGTTATTTGCCAAAGTAAGTCTTATCTTAGCAAGTACTAGCCCCGCCCACCCACCCTCTATTTTCTCAGGGAATATGTCATTTGCCAAATAAGTCTTATCTTAGCAAGTACTAGCCCCGCCCACCCGCCCCTGTTTTCTCAGAGGATATGTTATTTTCCAAAATAAGTCTTATCTTAGCAAGTACTAGCCCCGCCCACCCGCCCTCTATTTTCTTGAAAGGTATGTAATTTGCCAAAATGCTAGTATTTGTAAGATAAGACTGATTTTGGCAAATGACATAATTCTACGAGAAAATAGGGGGTGGGTGGGCGGGGCTAGTACTTGCTACGATAAATCTGATTTTGGCAGACGCTATACCCTCTAAGAAATAGAGGGCGGGTGGGCGGGGCTAGTGCTTGCTAAGATAAATCTGATTTTGGCTAATGACATACTCTGTAAGAAAAGAGAGTGTGGGGCGGAGCTAATAACTGTTAAAATAAGACCGATTTTGGCATATGAAATACCTTCCAAGAATAGAGAGGGTGGGTGGGCGGGGCTAGTACCTGCTAAGATAAGACTGGTTTTTGGCAAATGAGATATCCTCAAAGAAAAGAGGGGGCGTATGGGTGGGACTACTCATTAGCCGGAATCAGTCTTATCTTATCAAGTATTAGCCCTGCCCACCCACCCTCTATTTTCTTAGAGGGTATGTCATTTTCCAAAATCAGTCTTATCTTAGCAAGTACTAGCCCCACCCACCCGCCCTCTATCTTCTTAGAGAATATATGATTTGCCAAAATCAATATTATCTTAGCAAGTACTAGACCCGCCCACCCACCCTCTATTTTCTTAGAGGGAATGTCATTTTCCAAAATCAGTCTTATCTTAGAAAGTATTTTGAAGTGATGTCATCACATCATTAGTGGGGATGATTAGACAAATTTTGGTGAGTGTTTTCCCATCTACATGATATTGCTAAGAAATCACGGACCATGGGACTTGGAGATCCTTTCAAACTACTTAAAAAAAACACAAAAGATCCTCGAGATTCTTTCGAACTACTTCAAAATCAAGACATAGGGGTCCCCGAGATTCTTTCAAACTAATTCAAGAGCAAGACAAGATATCTCCGAGATTCTTTTAAACTACTTCAAAAAGCAGACACAACGAGTCTCCAAGATTCTTTCAAATCACTTAAAAAACAAGACAAAAGATCCTCTAAATTCTTTCAAAATTACTTCAAAAAGACACAGAAAGATCTCTAATATTTGTCCAAATTAGTTCAAAGACAAGAAATCACAGACCATAGGACTTCGAAATCCTTTCAAACTACATAAAAAAAAACACAAAGGTTCCCAAAGATTCTATCAAATTACTGTAAAAACAGGACAAGAGATCTTTGAGATCTTTTCAAAGTACTTAAAAAAGTACACGGGATCTCCGAGATTCTCTAAAATTACTTCAAAAACAAAACATAAGGGGTCCCAAACATTCTTTCAGATTACTTCAAAAGCAAGACAAGATATCTCCAAGATTCTTTTGAACTATTTCAAAAAGCAGACACAACGAGACTCCAAGACTTTTTCAAATCACTTCTAAAACAAGACAAAAGATCCTCTAAATTCTTTCAAAATTACTTCAAAAAGACACAGAAAGATCTCTGATATTTGTTCAAATTAGTTCAAAGCCAAGAAATCACAGACCAAGGAACTTCCATATTCTTACAAACTACTTAAAAAAAAACACAAATAGTCCTCAAGATTCTATCTGGGTGGGGCTAGTCATTAGCCGGAATCAGTCTTATCTTATCAAGTATTAACCCCGCCCACCCACCCTCTATTTTCTTAGAGGGTATATCATTTGCCAAAATCAGTCGTATCTTAGCAAGTACTAGCCCCGCCCACCCGCCCCCTATTTTCTTAGAAAGAATGTCATTTTCCAAAATCAGTCTTATCTTAGCAAGTATTTTGTGACGTCATCACATTATTAGTGGGGATGATTAGACAAATTTTGGTGAGTGTTTTACGATCTACATGATATTGCTAAGACCATGACAAGAGGTCCCGAAATTCTTTCAAATGACATATTTCAAAAACAAAGCACAAGGGTTTCCCAAAATTCTAATAGATGACTTCAAAAACAATACCCAGAAAGATCCCAGAATTTTTTTCAAATTAGTTCAAAGACAAAACATCACGGATTACAGGACTTAGAGATTCTTTCAAACTACTCCAAAAATAAAACAGAGGATTCCCGAGATTCTTTCAAATTACTTCAAAAACAAAACAAAAGATCCCCGGGATCTTTTCAAACTATTACAAAAACAAAACAGTAGTGTATTTTATCCAGTTATAGCACTTTAGCCTTCCTTCTAGCCACTTGACTGACCTGACTTGAACTGACCTGACTTGACTTGACCTGACCTGACCTGATCTGACCTGACCTGACCTGATCTGACCTGACCTGACCTGATCTGACCTGACCTGACCTGACCTGACCCTTCTAGCACACTTTTTTCCATTTCTCTGACTTGTAGATCCTCATTTGTCCCTTCTGTAACCTTTTTTCTCTCCACAGCTTCATTTCGTCCTCCAACGTCCCTAAAAAACACCCCTACCTTTTTTCGTACCCATTTTGAAACTCAAAAACGCAAATACTGATGAACAAATACTGAAGTTTAATCGAAACGTTCCTCCCGCAGAGAAAGAGTCCCTCCTCTCGCGCCTCTTCAAGAAAACCAAAAGATCCCAGTGCCAAATAAGCTCGTTCAGCGCCCAGTTCCCCCCCACCGAGTGGTTCAACTCCAAAGCCGTCCACCTCCACAGCATCGGAACGCAAACCTCCACATCCGACAAGGTAAACCCCCATCTGCTCCAGCCCCCACTGACTGTCTGTTTTCCAGGAAATCGCCTCAATTACCTCGTATCTGGAAAAGTGCGAAATCAAAGCCTCCTCCCGTTCGGCTACTCTACCTCGGCGCCGCTGCCGCCAGTACCCCGACCTCCCCTACCCCCCGTACCCCATCTCCCGCGAGAGCTCCCCCGTCTCCCGCAAGCCCAGCAGCTACGTGTCCTGCACCCTCCCGCGCAACAAGCAGAAGAGCCGGGAGAGCTCCCGGAAGACCAGCAGGAGCAGTTTGGTGCGGCAGCACAGCGACGAGCAGAAGAGCGACCTTGTAAATAGAATTTGTGATAGTCCAGTGAAACCTAGTCAAAAGAGCAGCGAGAAGTTGGAGCCGCCGGCTTTGGACAACAGCGGGCCTTCGAGTATTGAGTCGCACAAGAGCAGCAGCAAGACGGAGAGTTCGTTCAACAGCGGGCCGTCAAGCTTGGAGTCGCACAAGACGGTGATTAACACGAAGGACACGAAGGTGAAGAAGAAACGGGAGCAGAATAATAGAGTGTCGACGAGTATTCCCCAGAGTAACTCGTTTACGTTGCAAGTGACGACGAACCAGGGGGTTTCCAAGTTGAACAACAAGCCGAACGCTACGACGACGACGACCATAAACGGGGAAGGAGGCAGCAGTACGAAGATCTTCGTTCAGAACTCGCCAGTGCGGTCGGTGATCACGTTCGAGAACGGACAAGGCGACGACAGGAACCCGAATCTGGTGATCATCAACGACACGGAAAGCTCGCAGTACGAGTCAAAAGTGCCCAAGAACACCAACCAGTCCAAAGAAACCACTCTCAACAACTCGCGCGACCTCCTGCCGAACGGTGAAGACTTGAAGAACAACCGGAAGCTGTCCCTCCAACTCCCGAATAAAGAAGGCTTGAGTTTCCACAACTTGATCAAGAACGTGTCGACGAGTTCGCACAAGTTTTCTTCCACGTCGAACCCGGACTCTCCGGTGATAGCCCACGAGAGTCCCAAAGGGGGGTACAACAGCACTCCGCCGAGTCCCACGAAGAGCTCGGACGCCCTCTCGATTTCCTCCATCGGGAACATGTACGCCAAGAACGAGATGGGGTCTCTTTCGAGTTTCGACACGTCGAAGAAGCTCGAGAAGAACATGCTGGGGTCGGAGCCCAATATCAGCTACAAGGATAACCGGGACCAGCAGTTTCCGAGCTTGAATGACTTGTCGTTCAACTTTACGAGTTTGGCTGCGCAGAAGATACTGAAGGGTGTGGGCTTGAACAGCGTCGATACTTTGGTCGAGTTGAACATGACGAATGTTGATAAGCAGAATAACTGTGATGTGGTTCACACTGATTTCGGGATGTTTTGATAAATCTGGAGTTCTTTTTGCTGGCTTTGTTCGAAAGTCGGTTTTAAAGGAGTAATGACCGGTTGTAATATATGTATTATTGTTAGAGTAACTGTATGGCTTTTCAGTTATGCAACTGACCATGTATTTAATATTTTATATACGTTTTTATGTAATTATGAATAATAAATAATATTTACGTAACATGCATGGGTTCATTTAATGGGACGTTGTAGATTAACTGCTAGATGTGTACGCGAAATTACCTAGAAATGGGAGATCTGGGCTGAGTACCATGAAGACTACACACCAAGAGCGGATGGGACCATCTGGAAAACTGGTGTCCGAATCCAAGTTTTACATACTTTTAAATGAAGTAAAATTTAGGCCTTCCTTAAAATCAATTTTTTAATGTCTTGTAAAGAAATAAGTATTTTGCAGTTAATCTTCGCCCTCTTGGTTGGCGACGAATAAAAAAAATCATCACAATTGAGATGGGGTGGGTGGGCGGGCTTCATATGTCGCCTTTTTTTCTTAATATGCATTGTATTCTTTGAACAAAACTATGCTCAGAAACATGTTTTTGGCAGCATAGGTTTTATTATCAATAGTGCTAACGTAATGTCACAAAATACTAACATTGCTAATTTAGTGATGACAAGTGTCAAAGAAACGACTCCTATCAAAGGTAGAAGTTGCCGAGGAAAAAAAGGAAAATGAAGGAAAAATTTGTTAATAACTTGTCTTCACATTTGTCCTTATAAATAATAAATTAAATGTAATATATTTTTGTTTCCTTAAGAATATAGAGTTAACAAAGTTAATTCAGTTACAAAATTTTCTTTTGCTCCACGTTGGCCACCAACGAGCGATTTTCACGATTTTTTTGAAAGTTTGCTGGTTTTGAATTCGAATTTTCTGTCCTCGATAGTTGATGCTCAGCAAGAACCACGGGAAGGTCTGGAGCAGATCTCGCTAGGAAAGGAGAGGGCTAGGATTTGTTAATGAGGGATAGAACGTTATACAGTACAATACAATAGAAATACAATACAGGTACCTATAATCTAACTACAATACAGAATACACTACAGATACAGATACAATTCAGATACAATACAAATGCAAAGTTAGTACCCAATACACCACCGGAAGAAATTGCACCAAAAACTGAGAATGTTGCAAAATGAAAACCCAAGCAAGCACACCGATGGAACTCGAAACGAAATCTATTGGTCGCAGCGCTCACACGCCCAAGGGAGAACGCAGCCGCATAAATCCAAGGCCGACTGACCTCATCCTTATCGGATGAAGCGACCCAGCGTCTAAGGGCAACAGAACCCCCCCAAGCCAAAGCGTCTGACGACATGGAGAATTCAGACTCGGAACCAAAGAATGCACTGTTGCAAAAAAAATACCCAAGCAAGCACACCGATGGAACCCGGAACGAAATCTATAGGTCGCAGAGCTCATACGCCCAAGGAATAACGCAGCCGCATAAATACAGGGCCGACTGACCTCATCCATTTAGGATGATGAACCTCATCCGTTTAGGATGATGACCCAGCATCTAAGGGCCAACAGAACCCCCCAGGCCAGAGCATCCGACGACATGGAGAATTCAGACCCGGAACCAAAGAATGCACTGTTGCAAAATGAATACCCAAGCAAGTGCACCATGAAAACAAAGCATTTGCACCACAGGAGCTAAATTGGCAAGACCCAAGTTAAGTTAGTAACACATAAAATATACAGTACAAAATGCTTCAATTACAAAAGTTACAATATACAAATGTCTCCACGTTTGCCAACAAAGAGCGATGACTCTGCTCGCTCGTTGCTGTTACCCAGCAAGAACCAAACAATACGAGGAGGTCTGGAGTGCGTCTTGCCATTAAAAGAGAGGACTAGGGTTTGATAGCATGCGTGAAGGACACCGTATTTTGTAAATTTAGACGCCGTATTTTAAAAATGATGCATACGGTATTTTGTGAATTATGAACGCAGTACTTTGTATATTCTAAAGCCGTACTTTATCAGTGCTGAATGCATGTTATTAACATCAAATTTCAAAAAAAATCGGACATTTTTGGAAAAATATCCACTTTCCTTCGTGTTCACAGCACTTAACACAACATTTTCGCTAATATTTGTTAACAAAAAATTAGAAATTCGAGAACACGTGCTACTTTTTACCCAAAACGGAGCTCCGATGTTGCTGCCACCAAACCGGAATCAAAACTGAACACACAGGAGCGAAAAAGTGACCTTTTATCAGATAGCTCACGTGACAATGACGTCATCGTACGTCACGATGAGATGGCAAAAATTATGTGTTCTTAGGAAAATGGTTTTCGGTTTAATTATCATATATTAATAGTTATCATATTTGAACATTATGAATTATCTTAATTATGTTTAAATTTTATTTAATTATATCGCGAAAATGTATAGCTTTGACCCACCAACTTCAATCGTTTCGAATATTTTTCCAAAATTTAAACATTGTCAAATAAACGAATCATGGAATCCGATAAATTAAAATTGAAGTCGTACTTACCCTGTTTTCGGTCCTTTTCGGAAAAATATCCATTTTCGTTCGTGTTCACAGCATTAACACAACAAATTTTCCGTAATATGTATTAATAATAAACTAGAAATTCGCTAAAACGCTCCAATTTTACGTCAAAATAAAGCGACGATCTTGCCGCCATCAAACAGAAATTAATACTGAACACAAAGGACCGAGAAACGTGACCTTCGGACAGGTAGCTCACGTGACAGTGACGTCATCGTACGTCACGATGAGATTGCAAAAATTATTTTTCATATTTTGGCCGGAAAAATGCACATTTTCGGGGATAATTTAACGTTGCTTAAACAAATTGATTTGTTTTTAATAATTTCGGGTTTGCAAGAAAACGAGGTCCGGTTTAATTGTCACATATGAATGCTCATCATATTTAAACATTATAAATAATATTAATTATGTTTAAAATCTATTTATTTATATCGCGAAAATGTATAGCTTTGATCAACCAATTTCAATCGTTTCGAAAATGTTCCCAAAAGTTAAACATTGTCGAGTAAACAAATCACGGAACCCAATAAATTAAAACTCAAATCGTACTTACCATGATTTTCGGCCTTTTCGGAAAAAGATCCACTTTCCTTCGTGTTCACAGCACTTAACACAAAACATTTTCGCTAATATTTATCAACAATAAATTAGAACTTCGCGAACACGTGCTACTTTTAACCCAAAATAGAGCTCCAGTGTTGTTGCTACCAGACCGGAATCAAAACTAAACACAGAGAACGGAAAATGGACCTTTTATCAGGTAGCTCACGTGACAGTGACGTCATCGTACGTCACGATGAGATTGCAAAAATTATTTTTCATATTTTAGCTCAGAAATTGTACATTTTCGGGGTTAATTTAACAATGTTTAAACAAATTAATTTGTTTTTGCTAACCTCGTGTTCTTCGGGAAATGGTTTTCGGTTTAATTATCATATATTAATAGTTGTCATATTTAAACATTATGAATTATATTAATTATGTTTAAATTTTATTTAATTATATCGCGAAAATGTATAGCTTTGACCCATCAACTTTAATCGTTTCGAAAATTTTTCCAAAATTTAAACATTGTCGAATAAACGAATCACGCAATCCGATAAATTAAAACTGAAGTCGTACTTACCCTGTTTTCGGTCCTTTTCGGAAAAATATCCATTTTCGTTCGTGTTCACAGCACTAACACAATAAATTTTCCGTAATATGTATTAATAATAAACTAGAAATTCGCTAAAACACTCCACTTTTACGCCAAAATGACGCGACGATCTTGCCGCCATCAAACAGAAATTAATACTGAACACAAAGGACCGAAAAACGTGACTTTTATACAGGTAGCTCACGTGACATTGACGTCATCGTACGTCACGATGAGACTGCAAAAATTATTTTTCATATTTTGGCCGGGAAAATGCACATTTTCGGGGATAATTTAACATTGCTTAAACAAATTGATTTGTTTTTAATAATTTCGGGTTTGTAGGAAAACGAGTTTCGGTTTAATTATTATATATTATAAATAATATTAATTATATTTAAATATTATTTAATTATATCGTGAAAATTTATAGCTTTGATCGACCAACTTCAATCGTTTTGAAAATTTCCCCAAAATTTAAACTTGTCGACTAAATGAATCACGGAACCTGATAAATTAAAACTGAAGTCCTACTAACTCTGTTTTCGGTCCTTTTCGGAAAAATATCCATTTTCTTTCATGTTCACAGCAATAACACAACACATTTTCTCTAATATTTGTTAATAATAAATTAGAAATTCGCGAAATTGCTCTACTTTTACGCCAAAAGGACGCGACGATCTTGTCGCCATCAAACAGAAATTATAACTGAACACAAAGGACCGAAAGACGTGACCTTTGGACAGGTAGCTCACGTGACAGTGACGTCATCGCACGTTACGATAAGATTGCAAAAATTATTTTTCAAATTTTGGCCGGGAAATTAGACATTTTCAGGATTAACTTAACAATATTTAAACAAATTGCTTTGTTTTTAATACCATCTTGTTTTTAGTAAAACGGTTTTCGGTTTGATTATCATATATTAATAGTTATTTACCATATTTGATCATTATAAATAATATTAATTATGTCTAAATTTTATTTAATTTTATCGTGAAAATGTATAGCTTTGGCCGATTAACTTCAACCGTTTCGATTTTTTTTCCAAAATTTAAACATTGTCGAGAAAACGAATCACGGAACCCGATAAATTAAAACTGAAGTCGGATTTGCCCTATTTTCAGTTTTTTTCGGAAAAATATCCATTTTCATTCGTGTTCACAGCACCAACACAACATATTTTCAATAATATTCATTAATAATAAATCTTTCCAGTTTAAGATATTTTTATTTTTTGATTTTTCAATTGTTGATTTTTTCGTTATCCGATTTTTTTAATTTCGCTATTTTTCAACATTTCGGTTGTTCAATTTTTTTTATTGTTCAATGTTTCGTTTTTTCTTCAATTTTTTAATTTTACAGTTTTTCGATCTTTATTTTGACATTTTTGGATTTATCAATTGAAATTTTTTGTATTTTTCGATTTTTTAGTGTCTAGATATTTTAATTTTTCGATTCTTCAACTTTTGAATTTTACAATTAATT